CGCGGAGGGAAGCGTAGCTGTTTGCTACGAGGATCCTTTCCAAAGCCACCTGAGCGTGGCTGAACGGTGGAAAGCAACCCAGCTTACTGTGTTTGCAGTTGCATCCGTGAAAAATTCCTTAAAAAAAACCAGCGGATTGGGATTTAGACACCTGGCTGAGCCAGAGCGAATAATCTAGAGCGATTTTTCTGGATGCATCCGTTAGTAAAGTGTTGCACCGTTAGAAAGCTGGTGGAGGAGGAGGTAGGATCTGGTGCCTGATCCACGTGCTGTTGCGTGGTGCCCGTGCTGTGTTTTGTGAAGTACCCCTGGGTTTCTGCTTTTCCTTAGCTGGGCAGACTGAGCCATGGTCAGCGGGTTGGTAATTGAGGAGCTGTGCCGCGGTGATAAAGCTGGGACCAGTGCTGAGACTACATAGCTAAAGGTGTCCTGTGAACAAGTGGGTTTTCCAAGTTTGTGCTTCGCAGTCCTTTCATAAGCACTTGGGCTTTTCCAGGCACCTTTCTGCATATCTAAGTGGGTTTTTTCCCAACTGGAAGACATTTAAAGTGTGTGTGTGGGGATGTAAGACCTATCAGCTCTCTGGTTCGTGGCGTGGACCTCCCAGATATGTTGTAGATCATCTGTTTAATACCTAGTTAAGGTTTCTGGGAGTGAAGGAACGGCGGGGCCATCTGAGCACACTTGCCCAAGCAGTATCTCGTACCACGTGCGTGTTCAGCTCGGGTGAAGTCACGCTCGAACAGAAACCACCCAACAAGCTGCTCCTCTCCTCTCTGCGCAGCGAGCCTGTGCCTTTGTAGCACAGCAGAGATGCTGCTGGAGGCATGGAGTCCAATCCCGTGGGATTTGTTCAGCAAGGCTCCCGGTGCCTTTAGCAGAAGCCGTGCCTCTGGGGAGCCAAAAAGCAGCATCAGATCAATAGATGCCATCTTCAGAGGCTTTGGAGAGCTTCCCCCGCGCTGCTGCCAAGTGGATAGGGTTCAGAGGGTGTGCTAGTTCATCTTGCTGGCTGAAGACACTGTCAGTTTATGAAAAATGTGTAGCTTTCTTCCCACCTTGTTTTTAATATTAACTACTACTCTTGAAATGCAGTGGGATGGTTGAGCATTGGGCTTTCCCTGGTGGCGGTAGGTTGGGAGATGTGCAGAATTTTTATAACGGAGCGCGCCGATACAAAAGTCCAAGTAGCTTTGCAATCACACACAAAGCAAAGGAAGGCTTAGGCAGATCTTAAACACAAGGGAAATTGTGGTTGTTGAAAAGAAGAAATATGTAGTACCATCTCCGTGATTGCTGTTTGTTTCATGTGTGTCTTCTGTAATGCTTTGGTTGGTTTGTCTTGTTTAGCGTTGCTGTTTTGTAGCTAATAAGGAATACTTGGGGGGAAAGAAGAGCTGTGAAAACAGCTAAAAATGGACATAAAGGCCAAGGTGCATGCTCTCAGACCTCAGGCGCGCCGGAGGAAAAGTGCAAATACCATCAGAGTCAAGATGCGGTGGTGGGATCTCGAAAAAGCAAGTTGCGTCATAGTACAGCAACTTGTCTGGACAGAGCTCAAGAAGGTCTTGAGTGTGGATAGCCCTTAAAGCATGAACCCCGTAGGACCTCTCTAAATTACTTGGGAATCTGGTGTTTTGGGGGGGTCTTTCTTGCAGGAAGGATGCTCCGTTATTGGCACTAGGAAGAGGGGCCGGTTTCTGGCCGCGCTGAGACTGGGCGTTGCAGAATTGGTGCTGATTTTGCCAGATCATGTGGCTCTTCATCCAAAAATGAATCAGAAGTCAAATGCAGTGCTAAGTGGCACTTCTGCAAACGTCCTCTGACATGCTTCATGTAGCCCTCATCTGCTCCAAATAAGCAGTGGATCCCTTTTTTTGTGTATGAAACTTCCCAGAGCCAGGTCTTGCTGTAGGATGTCACCGAGATGCTCTGCTGCCGTCCTGATGGACAGAAATGCCACCGCTGGTGGCAAAACCTAAACCCCAGCGCTAGCCTTGGCTACCAAAACCTGGTTAGAAAACTGCAGTAAGGTGTTGGGGAAAGCAGATTGGGCTGTCTTTTGATTTATTTCCTCCAAGGATAACACCAGATGCTTCATATCAGCGCTGGAGGTGGGATGGAGAGGAGGGAAGGTTGTGCCCTTCTGGAGATCCCTGTGTTTAATATGGTTTTTCTGTTTCCCTGCTCTCTGGACATCAGCCTGTGAAAGGTTAATCCCATTCCCCCTGCTCGGAGGGCCCGTTCTGTTGCAATTAGAGCAAATGAGCCCCCTTAGCGAGGTACTGTGCCAAAATAGTGGTTTTTTGTTTAATAAAAGACGGCAGAGTTGCGAGGTGTTTGTCTCCTCCGGCCATAATGGTTTTGGTGCTCGTTTGGTCGCACGGGCAGGAGAAGGCAGGCTGTTCCTGAGGAAGTAGGGCAGGGTGCTGGCTTAAAATAGCCATGAACGCTGGGCTGCTTGTGATGAAGGAGCTATTTAGGTAAATCCTGGGGTCTCGGTGGGGGCAGAGCTGCCTGCTAATCTAAAGATACTCCTTGGAGACCTATATTTGTCCGGGATCCTTCCCGGCTTGGCTGGTTTTCCAGGTGTTCCCTGTTGGATCCCTGGCGCTCCTCTGCAGATTGTGTTGGGATGGTGGGTGTGTTTACTCGACGTACAGCGCGTTAATGTCTTGGATGGTAATGGAATTAGGCATCATTAAGCAGTGGCAGCGAGGAGACAGGCTACGTAAAGGCATCAGGTTTATCCTATAATGCAAGACTTGGCTCTGAATGGCTCTTGGAAGGTGGTCTGCCCGGCTCACGGTGCCGATGCGACTTGAGAGCCGGGTCAAGTGTGCTGGGAAAACCCTTCGTGGCAGGGAGCTTGGTGGAGGGAGGGATGGGGAGCAGCTCTGCACCCACAGCATCTCTGCTTAGGATGGCACGGACCAGAGGTGAGATGGAGGATGAAGGGTGAGTGCTCCTGCATGCAGAGGGTGCTCAAAAGCGGTGAGAAAAAGAAATAGTGCAGCTTTTAGAGATTTCTCTGGCAAGGAGGAGGAGCGTTGGGCTATTTGGGCTGTGCTCAGACCTCCAGCCTCCGAAGCAAAACCTCGCTGCCATCTCTAGCTGCAGCATCTCCAGCTATGAAGTCTTAATGGGATCTGGCTGTGTTTCCATTAGGAGCAGAGGTGAATGTGAGTGTGTTGAGTAACGTGACCTGCTCCAGCTGGGAGCCTGGGTCTGCTGCTGGGAGAGGGCTTGTGGGGTTTCTCTCTCCAGAAGTCTCCATCAATCTCCTGGCTTCTGAGTGCTTCCCTCCCTCCTTTAGGGGTTACCTCTGCAGTGGTGGTGGCTGTAAGACAATTTAAAGCACTGTCCCTGCTCCAAGCCAGATCTGGCTAGAGCGTGCAAGGATCTCCCTTGGGTAAGGCAAGTGGTTCGGGGTGAATTTCAGGAAAAGAGGGAGAAGCGGTGTCAACAGTGACCCCAGTAAGAGTCTTTAGTTCCACAGCCTGCTCTAGAAAACGGTCCTTTTTATCAATTCCTGAAGGGTAGCGGACGTGGTGAAATGGCATCTCAAACTATAGTGAGAATATTATCCCAAAGGCAATGTCTCGGATATATATCGCAAAGGTTTCCTGGAGGAAGACCCCGAACAGGAGCGCAGAGGGCTGGTTTTGCTGGTTCAGCGATAACAGGGGGCTCCTGTCATGGTGCTCCATCCCTGGCACGTGCAGGTCTGCGGAGCCGCTCTGAAAGTGTTGCTAGAACTTCTTTAGCCCATTCCTTGGGCTCCGTACTCTTTGGTTTGCGAGAAGGCTGCTCTGGCTGATCTCCAGCATGACCACTGGGAAGATTCTATTTAGTTTGCGGCTCCCTTCGGACCACCTGCACCTCTGCGTGGCTATAAGGTGGTATGTGGGTGTAAACCTGGGAGCAAGCGCGTCGCAAGGAATGTTCCAACCAGTGTGGCTTTGATCCCGCGCGGATGCAGCTGGGCTGGAAGCGTGAAGGTGTGAGATGGGAAGAGGAGAGAAACCGAGACCCCCTATTGTGTATGAATTGGTCTTTTTTTTTTTTCTTTTTTTGCTGCAGTGGTGATTGCAAGTGCTCAAATTCTCGTTTAAACAACCAACAACTGTTGGTTGTTTAATGTGCTTGTGCCCAAAGTGATGTGGACTGTTTTGCTCATATCCAAGCAGTTTTGTATGTTTGGGTAAGGCTCTCAGAAGCTGCATTATGCCTGATAAGATGCTGCCTTTATCCCATAGCGCACCTGGTTTCATATATGTGAAGACAAACAACATGATTATACCAAATTTTTACGATTATGTGAATGGCAAATGTGTGAAGAGCATGGTGAGGAGAAGCAGTGCCTTCAGTGTACGGCATTATAGCCATGGGGCACTTCTTAAAGAGTGGAAAAAGAGTGGAGAGAGTCGGAGATCTTTGCAGGACGACCACCTTTTGCCAGATGCGATGGAACAGTCTCTCCTCCGAGGGTCCGCGTGCGTCCGCCACGGCGCTGGGGGCTCCGGTGGGAGTCTTCCCGGCTGTTCCCTCCTTTAGGTTTCCCGTGCAGAGCAGCCGTTTCATGCCTCGTCCTGAGCGAGGTCTTGAAAGTACGCGATGTGCAAAATCCCGTCCGCTCCAAGTAGCTCCAAAACTGGAACCAGCACCCGCTCCCGTGCCGCCGGGGTCGGGTTTACGTTCCCTGGCAGGTGGGGGATTTGCCCTGGACACAAAGACCCCGCTGTTCTTGTATTAATGATCTATTAGTGGACGTGCTGGCAGCTTGCTAACCTTGTGAAACAGGTGGTGAATTTCCCTGCCTGCTGACATCTAGGAATCCCCTCCTGTCTCCTTTGGTGAGCTCACTTTTTTTTTTAAGGAGCTGCAGCTGTTTGCTGTAGACCTCGGCCTTTTGCTTTTCCTTTTTTTCTTTTTTTTTCGCTCAAGCTTAGCAGTGACCCCCTCGCGTCGGCTGAGAGACCATCCTGCTGGTGGACCTGATGAGAGGAAAACGCCCGGTTTGCTGTGCTGTCGAGCGATTATTTCATAGGAATACATATATTTTTAACTGCTGGAAAGTCTATAGAGCTTGAGGATCTCGAAGGAAACTTTTTTCCAGGCTGGTATTGACATCTTCTGACCTCTTCTTGACAGTAGCTGGTGAGTTGGCACTCGGTCATGTAAGGAGCCCGTGTCCCTGGCAAAGGACTTTGCTCCAGACAGATTGTCTCAATGACAATCCCAGGCAAATCCGCATCAGTGCTGGTCATTTGGAGACAGACCTAGGCACGGCAGCGCAGGCGCTGGACGCTCGACGGACCCCGCGAACAAGTAAGATTTTAACGTCTGTGTCGCTCCCGAGGAGGCTGAAGAAATCCAGTGCCCACCGAGTGCGGTGTCGGGATGGTCTCTGAGCCACGGAGTGCTTTGGCCACGGCACGGATCTGGGGCTCGGCCGTGGTTCGGCGTCGCTCCCAGTGGCGGGGCAGGAATCCCGGCGCGCGGAGCGGGCGGCTCCCCTGGCTCAGAGCTGGGCGGCTGATGCGCGGTGACAGTCTTAAGTCGCCTCCGTTCTAATTAAATACTCCCGGTTTTAATCTCACCGGACTCCTTGAGGAGCACAGAGAGAGGGAGCAGAGTTCCAGCTCCACCACGCGGGTCAGCAGCCCGGCAAGGGCCCATCGTAGCAGCCTCTGGGCTTGTCTGCCGTGGCAAACCTTGGCACGCAGCTCTGTTGGTGAACCCTCCTTGAGTAGCCGCGGTTTACTTTGGCAAAGGTGCCCTTTTTTTTTTGTTCCTAGTCTGATAACACTGTTTACTGTCCGCCCTGGATGTTTTGCCAGCAGAACAGTTTAAGGATAATTACCTTCTATCCCGATTAAAGTTTTTAGGAGTCCAGGAGCACAGTCCTGGTAGCTATAAGGTTTTAGAGACTGTATGGCTTCCGAAACGCAGAGGTGGACTTCGATTTAGGTAGTTTTTATGGTTTTCTAGCCCCTTGGCTTTGCACGTAGTGTTTCTGCGGGTCCGTGGGAGCTTTACGCATGGCCTCAGTTTGGCACATGTTATGTTCATATTTACATTTTGATGCACAGGACTGTGGCTTGCTTTTTTTTTGGAATTAAATGCACCTGGCTTCTGCATAGACTGTGTGCCAGATTCTAGTAACCCAGAGTCAACGTGGCCTCAAAATTTAGGTGTTACTCCTTGAACGACTGAAAGGTAGTTGATAAGGTACAGATTTGCTGATGGAGTCGGTTTGGTTGATTAGTGTTTCTCAGTTCCACTCGACTCTAGTGTGATAACCATGTCTCTCGTTCTTCGAAGAAATCATTCAACTTGGTAGAATTCAGCGTACAATACAGGTATTTTTAAGGTCATTGTGAGGAGATGTTCTGGTTGACCTACAATAAAGAATCTGGCTCAAGGTAAGGAGCAGAGCGAGCTCTCTGAACCAGTTGTGCACTGGGAGGCTGACTTCAGCTCCAGCAGCACAGCTCTGACTAGTTTTGGATAAAACTGGAGCATTATGAACTGCATTTAATGCTCCTCTGTATTTGAAGGAGCTGCCGTTCAGTGGGAATTTACACTTGCATAATGGATGAGGAAGCTACCCAAAGTCTTGTGTGCCAGATGCTCCATGTCAACGGGGATGGAGCGTGTGATGGATTTGGTTGATGCTCAAGGCAGGAGCTGTGTGCAGGGCTGGGTCCTCCTGTGACTCTACCAGGGGTGAAAACCAAAACTCTTCTGCTTCATTTTGTGAGTGCTTGGAGCCTCTGAAACCCAGGGTCTCTTATTCCTGAGGAAAAAGGAAAACTGCTACCCTCGGAAGAGTGGAAAGAACATGCAAAAGTTTGGAGGAGAGCAGACAGAAATGGCAATAGTAATCGTTCCTGGCTCTTGCATTTATGCAAGCGCGGTGTTTGCTTTACTTGGTGACTCTTCTGAGATATTAATGTTATTTATTCTAGCACGGTCCAGTGGCAAGGGGAGAAGTTACTTATTTTCTCAGGTAGTAGGAGGCTGGACGAGCAATGTATTTGCTCCACTTTGTGATCGTTTTCTTTCCCCATAGCTTCAGTAGCTGGTGAGAACTGTAGGTCTCTGACACAGCAGGGTCAGGGTGCCTGTGCCAGCACTGCTTCAGACTGAAAAATGACACAGATTATTTGTCAGGGCTTGGTCCAGGCTTTGAAAAATTGGTATGAAGCATACATCTGTTTTGTAGACTCACTTAAACTTGTCCTGGGGCACCCCAGGGGAGAGAAAACTTCATGCAAACCAGCATAGGGATTCTTAAAGCAAAGACACCTCAGCGTTTCATGACCAGAAATTTGTGAGGTCCATCATTTCAAGAACATAGAGATTATTCCATGGAAAATCAGGTAGTTGCTGCTAAATGTTTGGACTAACAGCAGGTTTGAATTTGACTCTAGCTGCTGAGGTTCAGCCCATCCTTGGTTTTGATCTGGACCCGCTAACGGAGAAGCAGCGGCGCGGGCTGGCTGGAGCGTTGCTGTAGGTAACGACAGCATCCATCACTTGCCTTCAAGTATTTGTTCCCTGTTAATGGCTGTGAAAACTCTGTGTGATCCTGGAACGTGAGCTTTCTGCAAGCACAGCACGGCGTTGCTGTTGCCTCTTGTTGCTGAACTTCTCCAGGTTATTGCCTCTTAGCCAGCTCCGTTTGAACCCGGGACTCAACTCTGAATAGACAAATGTAGGTTAGGCCTGAATGGGAATAGAATTGTCTGATAAAAATAACATTGGGCTATTTGGAAATTGGGGAAAAAAAAACTCCAAACCCCTGACCTGCTGCTCGTGCTATGCGCAGCTCGACACGGGAGGCAGCTTTCTCTCTGCCTTTCAAAGGGGGGGCGGATGGCTCCCGTGCAGGCTTTTCCCTGTGAACGTTTCTACCTTTGGCAGCTGGGTCCGGCTTCCTCGGCGGCCACGTCTCCGTTGTGGCAGATGGACATCTGTCACCTCCAGTCATCAAACCCGGAGCTGAACGTCACTGGGATATTTCAGATGCCTTCCAGCACAGGTGGAGAGGGTGCAGTCATTGGAAGCTGTTCCTACCTTCCATCGTGTGTCTGAACATAAGAAAAGACAGCTTTTACTTAGTTTTGTCTGAGCTGTGCTGGCTGCTTCAGAATGCCCAAAATGTACTTTTTTTTCCTCCCCAAAATGCATCTGTAACCATCTGTTCAACTCTCTGTCTGTAATACCATTCGTTTGAGGAGGAGCAAGCAGGGAAGGGGCATTCAGTGCCCTTCAGATTCGCTCCGATGGGTGTCAGGAATTGCAGTGGAATCTCTCCCAAGTTTATTATCGAGCTTGTTTAGTCCTGGGTGATTTTTTTTTTGGTCTTGAAGCCCCATGTGCCCCAGGGTGAGAGGACACCTCCTCTTCTTTAGCAACCCAACCATTCGGGGAACTAACTGGGTTTTGGCTGTAGCTGCCACTCCAGGCAAACAGCTCTTGCTCCTTTTTCAGTCATGAATCTGGCTTTGTTGCTTTGTGCAGTCATCCAAGGGACTCTCAGATATATAAACAATAATTTGAGGATCACTTTGTTTTCTCTTCCGTGGTACTGGCTCTTTCTGGAGGTGTGGATCGGTCGGCCCTGCTCTGTCTGCTGCAACTGCCTCCAGTCCTGGGAGGAGAGGACTTTTGCTTTGTTTGAACCACTCTCCTGTGAAAATGTGTGATAGATTATGTGATCCAACCCAATCCGTGCTGGAAGAGCTGTGGGGAAGCTTAATAGGGGTGTAGCCGAAGTATGGATGTAGAAATACAACACAGGCTTTTCTCCTGGAGGAATATATTCCTCCAGGAGAAAAGGAACATTTTCCATTCCAACACAGGAATATTCTCCTGGATTTTGCACCAAGGGGCAAATGAGCGGGCTCTGCTTTTGTAGAGTTGGTGGTAGAGAAGCAGCTTTTTGTCCCATTCTCTCGTCCTTCACTATCCGTGTCCTCTCAGAGTGCTGCAAATACCCACTTGCTCCTGGACTGGCAAGTACAACCTAGGTTAATTTTGCAGCAAATTGAGTCTTGCACCGTAGTCTAGCAAAGAGATCCCTGTCCTCTTAATTTGGCTGAAGTCCCTTGAGCACAGCTGACCTTTTAATCCGTTTTACACCTCAGAAGTTCACCCTGGCGTTTGTGCCCTTTTGGCTGCGGTTTGGCGTGCAGCCTGTGCCCTGTTAGGAGGGTGGGAATTGTAGTCTTCTCTCGGGAGCAACCTGCAGAGCGTATTTTGATGCCCTTGCAAAATTTCAAGTCTCAGACCTGAATATTTCACTGTTCAAACTAGACTGGGTGCAACACGTGGTTTTGTACACGAAGGGAAGATGGCACGAGGATCACCGCGCTCGCTGCTCGCAGCGTTGTGAAGGTTTTATCCATCGTTTTCGTTAATTATTGTCTGCAGGCAGTGCACGGGAGGAGCTGGCTCAGGGGATGAGTTGAGCACACTGTGTCTTTGCACTGCTTGGGCAGTCTGGTTTTTTGGGCTTGGGCAGCCCTGGTGTTTTTTTGCGAGATAAGGAGTTATTTCCCTATTTTGCAGATAGGAGCAGGAAGCGGGCAAGACTCTTCCACCCTTCTCAGTGCCCTGGGAGGGTGAGATTTCAAGTCAGCTTTTGCTCTGACGGGCTGTGCCAGTGCTGCGCCCGCTTTCTGCCCACCCAGGCTGGGTGATGGGAGCCCCTTCCTCTGCACCCTCATGCTGCGCTGGTCACTCCGACAGTATTGAGCATTAAAAAAGGATAAAATTCAGGTCTTAAAAAAAGTGGATATTTGTGCATCGGATAACCACTTGCACTGAGTTGACTAAAGCCCTTACACAAGTTGTGCTGGCTAACAGGATTACTTGCTTTGACAACACTAATTACTTAAGTACTCCTCCTCATCCTCGGCTGCACGGGGGAAACGGGTATTGCTGGGATTCGGTTTTGCCCATTCCCGGGCTCCAGCACGTGTTTCTTGTGACTCTCTGGTGCGTGGAGGATTTTTTTGGTGCAGCCTCCATGAAGCTTTCGAAGCCCTCGACAGCTCTGGGTGCACCGTGGCACGAGTGGCCGCTCCAGCGCTGCACAACCGGGCTCAGGGAATTGAGAAATCTATTTTGGGGTGGGTTAGCAGGAAAAGCAGCAAGTAGAAAACTGGTGATGTGGAGTAATCCCTTGCCTGGCGTGAGGTCTTTGTGCTGTGTGTGCATCCCCAGGATGGTCTCTTTGGCATCTCTGGAGCATTTTTGTCTCCCTCACTCCATGCTGGCTGCAGCTTGGCTGGCAGACGGGCACAGCAGAGGAGAAGCTGGTTCCTTATCGTGCCCAGCTCCTTGTGGGAGTGGAACCGTGCAAAGCCAGCGAGGGAACTTACATAAAAGTTCTTGGCTGCTCACATCGGCGTAGCCTCATATTTTATCTTGCATAACTCGGCTCACTAGGGCTACCAAGAAAAGGCAAAGCAGACCATGCCAGGAGCTTCTCATGCATCTCTTCTGACTTGTGTGACGGGCAGTACTGCTCTCGTGGTCGCATGCCATCTCCATTAAGCTTTCTGTCCCAATTTCTGTGGCCTTTTTACTTTGTTAGGGTGGCTTTGGGGTCAGTGGCCGCGTTTGAAGGCCAGGGATGATGGGGAATATGATGCTGAACGGTTCTTATTTCTCTGTTCTTGTCCTTATAAATCGTTTGACCTTCCAGCGCGCTCTTGTTTCCTTTGGAGTCAGATGGCAGAGGCTCGGACAACTGCCCAGTTTGTACAAGTACTTACAAATCGTTTTCCAGTCACTTAATGGCAGCGAGTCCCAAAGCCTCCGTTGCCCCTCGCTCCGAGTCCCGTGCCCACATTTCCACCCAGCTCCTTTCAGCCTCCTTATTCCAGCTGAACCTATCTGTGTCACACCTCCACCTTCCCTCTGCCTCCTCCTCCAGTGCCAACGCTGCCATCCTTACACAGACCCAGAGAGCACGGGGAGTGGAAAAAAGATGTGAAATTCTGCAAAATGTCGAGTTTTTCATCAGTAATCAGCGGGATCTTTTTTTTTTTTTTTTGCCTGTCGGCTGTAGAGATGAGCTAAATACGCAGTAAAAAAACCACAAAACGTCATCCAGCCTGTGTTGGGATAAGCAGGGGTCTTGCTTAAACCTCTTTAATTGGCAGCTCCGTGGGGAAAGCGCTGTGTGTGCTCTGGCCCGTTCAAGGCACGCGGGGCACTTAGCGAGAACCCAGCAGAGCGAAACTTCCAAAGCCGCCGATGAAACGAGGGCCGCCTCATTGCATTGCTCCCCTTTCATTACACCCGCTCTTGTTCTCCTCTGTCCTACATTCCACGGGATTCGAAAATGGATGTTCAGCTGCAAAGAATCTCTTGTGCTGCCTCTCTGCTTTTCCTCGCTGCCCCCTGGGTTTGCACGCTAAATAGCTGCTCTATTTGCATTTAAAAGGGATCGGTTGAGTTATTCTTTGACCAGCACTATGGCTTCACCTGTTAAATTCAACGTATTTTGGCGTAGGGGTTGTCTTTACCGAGTGATGGGTGAGGACATCAACCTCATTTGCATGTCAGATATTTTTCTCCTCTAGCTGGATTGCAGCTAAGTGCAAATCTGTCTTTCACCACATGACACGATGGCATCAGAAGCGGGCGATGTGGAAGGGATGTGTACCTTACCTAGCGAGTGGGTTTCATTACCTGTGGGCTGTGTTGGAGGTACCGCTTACTCCGGAGCGGGCTGGCACCGGAATTGTTAAAATGGCTGTAAAAGGCACGTTTGCCTTCCAGATTTTGGGGTAGTCTGGGGGATGCCTGGCAAAGATGAGGCCATCTGTCCGTCTGCCCGAGGTCTTCTGGACAGCAGTGCCTCCAAGACATCCTGCAGAGGTGTCCCATTTGCCAAAGGCCAGGATGATGAGTGGCATCTCCCTGTGGTACCCGCACCGGGGTCAGATGCTTTTCTTGGGACTGTGCATGGCGCTGAGCATGCAACGGAGCACCCCAAAGCAAAACCCATCCCTGCATCTCCTGCTCGTCCGTACCACAAGATCGCTCCCTTGGCAGGGCTGGGTCGTCGCCAGTTTGGTGCTGCTGTGACTGGGAGGGTGTTGGAAGGGCTGAACCCGGAGGGCTGATGGTTATTCGGGATGATTTGAGACGGAAGTGAACTCCGGGACCAGAGACCATCTCTGCGCTGCATCGATGCGATAAGATGCACGTCGTTTTGCGGTGCACTGGGGCTGTTTGACAGGGTTTTACTTCCAGTTTTTCCTCTTTTTTTCCCCAAATATCCCAGCCTCCTTCCTGGAATTTATTTTAAATCAAGATGCTATATAGCCTTTAAATATTATGCAGGGATCTGTCTCTTTCTTTCTTTTTTATTTTTTTTAAATCAGCCCGGCGCAGGAGAAGGTAGATGAGGAAGTCGGATGGGTTTCACTTGTAATTATTATTTTTGGTTTATATCCTTCCTTTCTGCTAGAGGTCACCTTCTCACAAATAATACAATTGCCTACCATGAAAATAGTACTAATAATGGCTTTTGACCGGGTGTTTTTCTGTCTGGATTTAAAACCCAGAGAACGCGTTGCAAATTGATGAGGTCTTAAAAACCTTATACGTTGGATTCCGTCAAGATTTACTAATTACTGAGCTCGAGGTTCAGCTTTTTGAAGTGGCCCGTACTGAGAGGTGCGAGGTGGTTGGCTGGTAAAGGCAGCTTCTGCTTTATGGGTCTGTGCAAGAATTTCACATCTTGGTCCTCCTGCCTGAGCTGCCAGTCCCTGGGAACCGGCGTGTTTTCCTCCCGCTCTGGCCGATGTTTGCGTGCAGTCCTGGTTTAGTGCAACGTGACGATGACGACTGTCCCCACCGAGTTAGGAGATGGCTTCGGTGCCCGCGTTTTCTGCGGATGCATATGGCATTTAGTCTGCATACGGTGGCTCGTTAAACATGCCGAGGGGTGTTTTGAGTCGCTCTGGCAGCATAGCTTTTCTTCTACGGTGTTTGAGAGCATAATTTCAGTGGAAGTCTGTTTCAGAGTCTATGCTCGTCTTGAGGCTTGGAAC